GAAACAAGACAGAACCAAGCCAGAACAGGATAATCGTGTACTCATCACGAACAAATAATGAATGTTTCACAGCATTCAAAACATTAGAGTCTTGGAAACAATGGTCACAAACCCGTTAAAAATACTCCAAACACAACTCGTTAGAAAATATGATATGCAAATTAGCCCAAAAATAGCATTTCTAATGGTAACAAAGTAAACAGCACAGCAAAAACTAGCGGAATTCGCTCGTATAAGTATCATTTCTGTAAGACAAACCTGCCAAAACCAGAGCAATTATAGCCACCATGCCCGTTACATTTGAAGTTTCGAACAAAAATTCTGAAACAAATCCACTATTTCTGCAGTGCAATATGGCCATCTTGCATGACTCACACAGCTTATTGTCCCTTTTCAACGTTAGAGGGGTTAGGAGGACGATTTTTATAGGCAGAAGTCATTCTCAAGTGTCATTTTGCTCTACGTATTGTGGCTTCTGAGTGGCTAAGAAAGCTGTCAATAATTTTTGCGTCGGTTTAATCGTATCCAATGGGATCAGACGATTTGAATAACTGGTTTCAAGGCACAAATTGACCAATGGGAGCCGGAGATAGCCAAAAATCATGATTTCGACTATTCACGTTTCTGGGCCACAAAATCCTGAATAGTTATCCTCAATCTATCAACGTAAAACTTTTTTAGGATTACTGTCCACACACTGGAATAGCAAGTAGATTGGGTTATAGCCTGGAATCTAAATGTTTTATAAGACTTATAGGGCTTATTTTAGTAAATGTGAATCTCAAAAAAAAAAATTGTGTGTTGTATTATTTCTTCACCTGTAACACTTACAGCAGTTCTCCTTTATCCCCACAAAAAATCCAGATAGACAAAGTAGTTATTGAGAGTTAATACACTTTTTATTATGGGTATGCCATTTTCGGAGCAGAGGACAAAACCAGCCTCAGAGTGCAACAGGTTGAGGACAAATTACGATAACCAAATAACCAACCAGTACATCTACAAGAATTCACTCCAGACCCACAATATGTGCATTCCTGCACAGTTTTGGGTTTTGGAAGTACACAGAAGCAGAGAGAAAGATACAGATGGGGCAAAAAGAGATTTTTCGTCTGTGCTGTTGGATGAAGGAAAATTAGACCGAATGGGCCGACAACCAAGTTACATCAACCTATTTAGGTCATGAACAGTGGCTTCCATTGGGCGTCGGAGGTCGCGGTGCTAGCTTTTGTAGTTTACAGCAGAAAAGGAGTGGAGAGAAAGAGGGGCCTGGTGCCAAAGTCTGCTTCAACTCAATAGAGAGGCTGCATCTCAGCTTTACATCACTCTGTTTGATTGACTACTAGATTAAAACTGCACTGAAACAAACACTTTGTGTGTGTGTGTGTGTGTGTGTGTGTGTGTGTGTGTGTGTGTGTGTGTGGCAGGGTTATCCTTTAGAGATCAGAGCATGACTAAATATATTCACGTCAATCTCTCTCAATCATTTGATTCCAGCATTAAACAGGCATAGTGCAGACGCGGCGATTGATTGCTGCATGTGTGTGTGTGCCGCAGCGTTCTGGGGAATGCACAGCGTGTATGTCTGACATACTGGAGTTTCTGAGGTGCTGGAGTCTCTGATGTGTTCTGTGTAAAGCCTGGGCGCCCTCTGCTCCGCTGTCTCTACCCACCAGTGAGATGTGAATAATGGAGTAATTACAGGAAGCACAGCTCGACCGCTAAACATTTTCCTGACCAAATGATCTGGGAGAGGGATTCTCCATTTGGCAGGGAAGAGAAAGGTTAAAAGAGAGAGAGAGAGAGAAAGAGAGAGACAGCCTGAAAAAAGGAGTCTCCCTCTCATTTTTAATATCTGGATTTAAGATTAGCAGCTCCTCCAACAGTTTGTGTTGTACTAGATTAATGGACTGTAGGTTTGTGTGTCCGTGGGTTACACTACGATTGTATGCATATGAGTGTCCTGAAATAAAAAACAAAAAGACGCCAGAGAGGGAGGTCTTGTCTTGCCAAGTTTGAATCCGTTTTTTTTAGTTCCGACGTGTGGGTCTTTGAAGTCAAAGTGAATCACTTATGCAGAAGCGTATGGACCCACAGGGCGATGCTGCCGCTCACTGACATTTGTCTTGAGGAAAGAAAAAATTAGGTGGCGCACACAAAGAAAGATAATCCACCTTTCATGGAGCTGAGTTGGAGTGTCCGCGCCTAAAATAACTTTTTGCATGTATTTATCTATTCACAGAAGGGTAGCTCGGCCCGAGATCCCCTTGTGAGGATGCCAAGATCGAGTGGAATCCGCTGGAAGCGCCACCGTCAATCAATCTGCTCTAGGTCGCACCATGTGCACATGTGCACACCCATTACGACAGACTCTACACTTTCCACCTCTTTGACACAGCTGCTAAATAATCATGGGCCCCTGCCAACAGCTCTCATAGGTCTCCAATAAGTAAAATATCTACAATTCAGGGGCCTCTGTCCAGCTCTGCTCTTACCCTGGCTGTGGCTTCCCGCTCCGGGCTTGGCCCCGGTTGTCCCTGACGGTGTGGTTCAAGATGGGCCAGGAAACGCTGGACTGCTCCCTCCCCGACTCCAAAGGACCCCGAGGTGGCATTTCGCTTCCGATTAGAGGCTGCTCCGACAGCCCCTAGGTGATCATGACGGAGGGAGGAAGTCTCTTTTCCTGCTTGCCCTATTCATTTGTCTTCTCTCTCTCTCTCTCTCTTAACTCATTTCCCCACAATTTTTTTTTGGCAGATGGAAAACTTGCATGCAACTAAAAACCACATGAACGTCCTTCACCTCTTCCAGGACAAGAACATCCATTACATGGAAAAGTCTTTACAACCAACAGTGCAACAAATGTCATGAACTGACAGTGAACAAGACCATTATAAGCAGGATGGAGGGGATAGGGGGTGGGGGTGCTTTAAGCTCCGGATGACACTTGAGCTAATGGGCTATTAATGCTCAAGCACAGTCATATAAACACAACATTAGTTCAATGCCAGGTCCAAAAATGAAAAAAATGTTTGGCTCGATTTAGCATCAGGTTAATTATCCATCACACTTGGTAAACACCGATTAGTGGTCCTGAATTAAAAGGACATCAAAGCCTCAGCTGAAATGGACAAAACAGGCACGCCAAAAGCATTCGCATGTACCATATTAAAATTGACTCCTTTGTTCGGATTGTTTGTAAAATAAAAAAATACGGCACTACTACTACTTTTACGCTGACGTTCCAATTTAAATGGGTAAATATTTGCAAATCCTATTTCATTGCATGAAAAGTGCTAGAGTAAAACTCTAGAGGCAAAACTCTGCTACAAAATTTTAAAGGACATCTTGGTAATTTTGTTTGCTTTAAGCTTTATTTCGAAGCCGCGGAGGCAAAAGCTGTTGTGTGTTAAATGCAAGGTATTAGCGGTGTGGCTTGATTGACATGTTTACAATGGAGCAGGTGCACAAAATGATGATTCTGTGGTTCTGCTTTTATTCAGCATCCACGCCTGTCTTTAAGGATCCACTTTGATCGACCTTTTCCAAAATGTAAGGATATTTCAACCACAGCGTGCATGGCAATAGCATAGGCAACAATGTCCATGCAACCAATCAGGAGATGGTTGCTTATCAGGTAATATGAAGAATGAAAACTGCATTTCAATGTGCTTTATTGGTGAAGTTTTAAACAATTCAGCAATTAAATAAAGCGAGGCTCACTGCAGAACGTTGATTGGTTGAAAGAGTGTCGTCATTTGCGCATGCCGCAAGGGGAAAGACAACACACGAGCCGCCATTTTTAAACTACAACACCGTCGCAAAAATGTCGCCGCGCAGCATTACTTGTCAACCCAGGAGGTGCAGACCCACATATCGAGAAGCAAGAACAGGATCGGCTGTATGTCCTCCATTGTTGTTTGCGATTAGCTTTCAGTTTTTGCGTGATCGAATGACGTCAATCTACTTTCCGTCATATACCACGCCTATCAAGTGACGTTATCACTACTTTCTGGAATACACCACGCCTATCAAGTAAGGGTACTGTTGGTGGTGGAAACGCTCGACAAATCATGGTTAACAGACTCGACCCGTACTGACCCGAGCCGTACCGTACCATACCGCTCGGTGGAAACGCACCATTAGTCCAAACTGTCACGGTGTTCGTTTTATTTTCCTGTCTTATTTCCATCTCCCTGGGTAACTTCACTTCCTGCCTGTCCTGTTATCGTCTCTGATTGTCTGATTGTTTCCACCTGTGTCCAATCACCTGCACCTCCCTAGTGTATTTAAGCGGTGTGTGTCTCCTGTCACTTGTCGCGTCATTGTCTAGTGTCGTGGATGTTCGTAGTTCCTGCCTGCTGTGTTTCGCCTGCATCGTGTGCAGTTTTGCCTGTCGGCCTTTTGCTTTTGCCTTTTGGAAAATTATTAAAAAATTTAATTCTCTTTTGTTTAAGAAGTCTGTGCTTGAGTCCTGCCTTTCTCCACCCATCCGTGACACAAACCTTATTATCGCTCCTAATTTTTCAAATACCAGCCACTGGCCCTAAGCTTTGAACTATGAGGTTCTTTGTAAGGATCAGCATATTATATTTTAAAATTAAACCGCCAGCTTCAAAGTCAGGGTTGAATTTTGGGAGTAAGACGGGGGTTGTCTGGTTCAATTGGTGTAAACCAGTGGTCCCCAACCACCGGGAAAGAATCCCTAAGGTAACAGAAGAGCCTACAACTTCAAAAAAGAAGTTCATTTGACAGACCGTATCAGGAGTCATGCTGGTTTATCGTAAACATGCTGATTGTAGGCCGATTGTATCATTTTTTTCATTGTATTTATCCGGTTGGATGTGGATAGTTTGCTTTGTCAACAAATGTAAGTGGACATTATATATATATATATATATATATATATATATATATTCCAAGGTTGATTTGAATTGTCAGAGTGAACTTGACAGCCTGTAATCATATATTTTCAAAGTCAAAAGTTTGGCATGAACTCTCTTTCTCTTTCTGCGGCCTTGTCAGCTGCAGTCCATATGATCTGAATTCCTCTGTTGATTTTGTAGGCCGCTGTATTTATCTTTTTGACTCCTGGTCGCGTCAGAGGATCATTAGTAGGAAGCTCATTTTGTGGAGCCCTTTCTGGTTCTGTTAGGAATAAGAATAACAAATTCGGTGGAGGCAGCTGAATGTCAACAGATGAAGTCCTACACATACGCTCATGCCCACACATTATCTTTTTTCTCATTTATTAGTAACTAGTGATTTTAGAGCAGTAAATGGCAAGTAATGCACTTATTTCTTCCCAAATATTATTTTAATAAGGCAGTTGGCTTGTTTAATCACACTAAACATTAAGTGTTAACTGTATATCCCAGGGGACCTAAATACATCTCATCAACGATTGTGGTGTCTGTGTCTACTATTGACCATGTTAAGCAACCAACTGTCCCGTCCCTTAAACCCTCTGCTGTATTCCTCTCGTCCCTGCCACGTCCCCAAAGTGTCTAGGAAGAGAGGCTGTTTTTTCTCCTTTGGGACAGGCTGGTGCCAGAGAAAGCGCTGTTGGGCAAAGCCCCCCCCCTCAACCTCACCACCCCGGAAAGCAAACCACAAACAAACCCGCCGGGGCCCCTGGCACCAATACAACCACAGGCCTCAGCCCCATAGTCTGCCTCGGTCAGCTGACTGTCTGTGTGTATATATGATTGTTTAGGGTGAGTAAAAAAAGAAAAGATTGTAAGTCAGTAGAAGGATTTTGATTCAGATTTCACCAGCGCAAATGTTGTGGTTCAAGATATTTTTTACTGTAGCAGAATGCAAATAGGATTGTCCTGCTACAGTTAACTGCGCCTGCCGACCACTAGGGCGGCGGTAGTATATAAAGGCTGCCCCCCTTCTCGCGCCCCACTGATCGCATCATTTCCGGTTCAGGTGTCTGTCTGCGCAGAGTAGCGACAGAGTGCTCCGTGCACCGTGCTGCTTTTTGCTCTTTGATCCTCTCAACCGGTGGTGAGTGTCCTCTCGTTCTCTCTCTCCGTGTTAGACCGAACAATATTCTTTAGCTAATGTTAGTGTGGTCACAGGTAGATGTCTTCCTGCCGTCTGGGTCTTTCTCGCCCTCCCTCTCCCTGTGCAGGTTTGACCTGGGAAACCGGTACGTGACTTTAAAACTAGCTTCCAAAAAGCTTTGACATGTAGCTTGGCAATGCTAACTTTATTTTCATTGACAGGGAATGCTCATCAGCTGGCCGAAATCCACAGGTGGTGATTGATGTGACCGCACTCAGTTGATTGGGGCCACTGCTGCTTTGCCTGCTGCTAAATGCAACTTTGCCTGCTGCTAAATGCAACTTTGCCTGCTGCTAAATGCAACTTTGTCGGTAACTGTCTGCACTGTTAAATGCTGCTAAGTGCACAGTTTGGTCTCCGCCACGACGTACCTAGCGTGTCTATTGGACCTGTGTAGTTCTTTGATTCTAGCTGACTGAGTAGTTAATCCTTTAGTTTGTATTTCTTTTGGTTTGTTTCCCTTATTTTCTTTTTGTTTCGGTTACGTGAATTGTTTGATTAGGACGATTTTTATGTGAACTGTTCTGTGTTGTACATTTTTGGTTTAATTCTCTTGTAACCTTCTTTTTTTGGTTATCCTTCCTAGCGGCCGTAGGCTGGTGGTGGTGGTGGTGGCGTGGGTGGTGGTGGTCTTCCTCGTGTGTCGAGTCCCATTGGATTTTTGTGCTATCACTGGGTGAACTCTGTTTTGTTTTCTCAAAGTTCGTTTTATTAATTTGCCTTCCCCTTCACCGGCCCTTCTCACCTTTAGGCCTTAGCGATTAGTTTTCTTTTCTTTTGTGATGAATGTTAGATTTTATGGTAATGTATATTTATTGAATAAAAATGCTTTTGTAAATTGGGAACCACGAGCCCTTGCCTACTGAGTGGAACGAACCTGTGTGCTTTAAAAGGTCTTGGGCCTATCCCAAGTGGCGTTGTCGGAAATCTTAAAATCCGAGTGTTTTCTCCGTGTCCATCAGCAAACGCCACAATACAATAATACTAATAAGTCACTAATAATACTAATCCCGAGCTTCATTGAAATAAAAAGAACAAAACTGTAATGCAGCAACTGTAGTGGCTGGGCATACGAAAAGACACAAGCTTTTCATTCAAAGAGAGCCGTGATCTCAATGCTTATGCTAGCATTGTTATTAACAGATATTTGCCGATGTATGCAGAACAGGCAAAGATTGTGGTGTGGGGAGTGTTTATTTTTTTCTGTAGTCAAATTGGGTATGGGCAGACTTTTGTTGCATACGTTTCAGTCAAAGCCCACCTGTAATGTGGGAACTCTGCTGAAATGTGTCACGATCATGCTTGGCTGTTTTTCTATTTTTCAGAGTCTTAGGTGAGGGCGGGGCAGGTTTCCTGGGTCGGAGGCTGGATCACTCCCGCCATCACATCTGTTAATCATCGACCCTCGTCTGAACACCCTTAAGGATCTGCAGGAGCTCTAGTCTTTGCCAGATTATTCTTCTAGACTGGTAATACGGCTTCCACGTATCGCTTCAGAGAGAAGCTGTTTTCAGAGTTTGACATTTCGCCATTGGTCTCCTAGTCAAGCTCCCGTTGCCGAAATCTGCTACATGTTTGGAGCCTTCACTGCCTTCAGTTTCACTCCCTGCCTGCTCGCCCCACCAGACTCTAGCCTCAGCATACAGCCAGCACCCCCCTCTCCTATCTGGACTCTCTTCTACTGCAGTAAGGACTACCAACCTCACCACTGGATTAATCATTCCTTTCAACCCTCCTAACAGTCTTTTTCTTTACCTAGTGCCCCTCCTTTCCTGAAGATCTACAACATTTCTACCTCTGCCTACAGTGTCTGCATTTGGGCCCTCACATTACAGGGGACGGCTAGTCGAGCTAGCCATGACACAATGTGAAGACATTATGCTTTTAAGCGGCAAAGAACCTGAGTGCAAACTGGCTATTTGTGACACACACTGCCGTTGGTCGTCATCCATCAATTGAAACTCGTTCTCACTTCCTTCTGACCTCAAGTTGCTAGTCGGACTGTAAACAATGTCTTGGTGTGGATATCTCCTCGCTACATTGGACCCCCCCTGAAAGATTGGGACTTGCCGCCAGATTCTAAATTGCAACCAAGACAACAGATATTGTGTTTTAACTGTATTAGCGTCTTTAAGGGTGGGATCGACAAAGTGGCCAATAAAATTAGCAATGTCTTTATGTCAGACTACGTGGCTATGTCATGCTGTTATAACGGTTTTAATGGGGTTGACGTAGCGCAAAAAGCCATGGGTTAAAAATGCAATGTAAGTCGCTTTGGATAAAAGCGTCAGCTAAATGACTTGTAATGTAATTTAAGTCATAACAAACATTTATGTGTGAGACGGTTGTTTAGTCTGAATGGTTTCTCCGCACTCTTTAAGGGAGGGTGTGGTTTGCCTCTTTATTGTATATTAGAGTACAATTAAAGTGTAATTACATATGTTGGTTTAAAGTTCACAAACCGTGCTGCCATTGCACATTTAACGTGTTTCTTACTCCATTTTGTTTACAGTTCCAAATGTATAACACTAATTTCACAACTGGTATTTTCTGCAAACGTTTTCATTGTTGACTCTTTAGGTGTAAGCGAGGATACTTTAGTGGTAAATGAGCTCTTGGTTTGGTTTGTAACATGATGACATCTTGCACATAGTTGCCTTTCTTCACAATGTGTGAATGTTGAATTCTATCTGTACATGTTATAACTGGCAAAAAGACCCTACAAGCGGCGATTAGCTTTCAAGAAAGGTGGGGATAATAAAAAAAGACCAACACCAATATTTTGTTAAAATTGGTGCAAGAAAACACTCCTTTCCTGACATTTATACCAAGGGACAAATGATTACTGTTTATTTTTACAATTACAATTCCGTCTTTGTCAGCCCACAGAACACAAGTGGGCATTCAGCCAGAAGCAGACATCACACCCACACTCCAGTGGTGGTGATTAGTGAATTTGGAAACTAATGTTCTCTTGCCCCAATAATGAAGCATTTAATACACAGCCCTGGGAATGCACATCAAGCATGGGGCAATTCAACTCTGCTCCAACATCTACTGGAAAGTAAAAAAATAAGGAAATGTTGCTGCCACAAGCTCAAGCTAGACCTCACAAAGAATCAAAGTTCAATGTGGACATGGTTTGATATAAAAATCTGTTGGCGTGTGTGGAACTGATGTGTATGTATTTTTTTCAATGGCAAGCTAGAGTGCAGAGATGGCTCAATGATTGTTTTGTTTTTATTTTAGTCCGTTGGATTGGAGATTCCATGCTAAAAACATGAAAAGCATTTGAAAAGCCAATTAATATAGCACTGCTAATGCTAGTATGTCATACAAGTCTCCAGATGTTTTCAACATTTCTTTTTGACATTAATTTGTGTTGTCTCGAAACGGCAATTAATGACATGGTGTTTCGGATATTGGAATTAAGTTAAATAAATGCCAAGTCTGAAAGTCTAAACTGTGCTGAAAGACACGGTGTAGACATCACCATACTATGAGCTAGATAGTTACACTAACATACCAATGACGATGCCAACATGCTACTGTTAAGCCGAAATGACTTTACCATGTACCACCATCTAATTTCAGAGTTTAAGCGTAGGGAAAGTCTCTGATTAGTACTAAACAATGAGTATGATGTAATGATGAAAATTGTATAACAATTCTTTCTCTTGAGACGGTGTATGTGGTTACCAAATTCCACTGCAATTCATATTATTTGTCTGAAAAATATGAAAGGTTACCTCATGGTGGTGCGAAAGGTAATGTCAAGGCAATAATGGCAATAATAATGTAAGCAGGAAACAACATTTTGTAGATACAAAAGCTGCCAAGATATTAAGTTTTCTATTTCCAGAGAACGTACCCTCTGGCCCCATCAAAAGGCCTTCTCAAGTCTCATAATGAGGGCAAATTTCAAGTGGCGCAACAGCAGGACTCTTGAGAGAAAACATTATGACTGCATTAGATGTGCTGGCAGTCCGGAGTCATCACTGCTGTGGTCTTCTGTTTGCACTGTGACTTAGCCTGTTTACGGCCTTAACTTTCAGGCTGGCAGTGCGATCTAAACACAAGAGTTATGAAATTCAAACAGGCACGTTGTTTATTCAGCCAACTCATGGTACATTTTTCCTGAGCAATTATACCACCATTCCGTGTAGTGCACAATGCAACCAACACAAACTGAAACCCCTTTGAGTAGAAGACTAGCTGGAGAGGAGGGCAGACAGTGTGTGAACAACATTATGCCATTCCACAAATGATCCTCTTTTCCCTTAAAGAGCCAAAAGGAGCTTGAGGAATGCATGGCTATCTTATCCACTGGCCATTAGTTACTTTAGCAGCAGTGTTATGATGACATGCAGGGAAATGGGAGTATATGGGCGCCACCCCTCTGGATTATTGATCATTGGGAAATATTTACCTAACGAATCAGGAATCAGGAAACATTTATTCGCCAAAATATGTCAAACATACAATTCTGCAGGCGTACAATCTGCAGGCGTAGTGTTCTGAGTTCCGCTGTGAACCAGGGTTTGTCGTTGTTGTAACTCACCCTGGTGCATGATGGTACGTTACAACAACGACAAACCCTGGTTCACAGCGGAACTCAGAACACTACGCCTGCAGAAGGATCAGGCATTTAGGAGTGGGGACAAAGACTTGTACACAGAGGCAAAATACAAGTTTAGCAAGGCGGTGAGAGATGCTAAACGACTGTACTCTGAGAAACTCCAACAACAGTTCTCAGCAACGATGTGGCTTTATTGCTTTTATGGCAGGGAACTAAAGCAATTAACAGTTGTAGGGCAAACAAGCATCAGGTCCTGTGTTTGTCAGTGGCTGCTGACCAGGCTCACGTACCAAATATCATCTGTCATGTTGAAGACTGACATTTCACTTGGTGGTTCACAAAAATTAAACAAAAATTAAAGGATTTGTTTAATATATATCATCATCAGCTGGCTCTGTGATCTATTCCCTTTAGTTTTCACCATTCTTCCATTTCCTGAGCAGCGGAGGCAGATTGCTGTTTAGATTTTTCGCCAGATTTTTCATTGTAAAGCCACTCTTAGGCAAATTTAGGATTTTGGAGTGTACACAATGAATTAAATTTCATTTCATTTTAAGTTCGAAAACAAAGCTTCAGAATGGTCTTACCTCCAGGGCATGTGGTAGCTGTAGGGTGGGGCTACATGCCCGTACCTTTAGCCTCACAATAAAATTACCAAAGGTTCCCATTGTTCACCTGATTATATCGAATGGCTCCTCCAACCACAACCCTCTGGGCTATGCACTTCAGTGCATTAGCAGCGTGATGATAAAGCATTGTTTGCTCATAAAATGATCTTGTCCCGAGAAACCAGAAGCTAGTGAAAAGTGAATGCTACCAGATTATTGTGAAAGGCTCAGGTTTGTGCCTTCAGTGTGCTTTTCTCATATCCGATTCATAAGTCAAATTCCGAGCTGGAGTGTTCCGCATTTTAATAATGAATTCATACAGCCATCCTTTCACATGATATCAAGTGCGGCGAGTGAGCAAAGCTCCCAGGCCCTCTCATAAACACAGACGCCGTCTTCAGAGTTTTTATAGGAGCAGACATGGCTGAGGCTGGCAAGCTTCAGAACAAAGATGGTGTAAATGTGTGAGCCAGTTATCGGCTCCAGCAGAGCTATGCGCAGCCTCCAGATAAGCCAGCATTGATGTAAAAGTGTTGCCCCCTCCTCCGTGACAGTAGAGCAAAATGGTGGGGTTGTGGGTCAGGGTGGGGACGGGGTATGTTGAGACCCTGGGTGCGATGATTATCTCTGGGGTAGAGTTTCAGAGAGTGGTAAGGGGGTGTTGGAGGGTGGTGGGCACAGGGAGTCTTGTCTGTACACATAGGGAGCCTCTGTTTCTCCAGGGCCCACACCCCCATTCACCTTCCAGTCACACAGCCGCATTCTGCTCCAATGGAAATGAGAATCTGCCCCAACTGCTGCCTCTAAACCGGTCACCCAGCGCCGCTTGTCCCGCACACACACTGTGAACACACACGCTCAAACAAGTCCAGACAATGCCACTTGTCTAATGCTAACGCGTCACAAGTCATTCAGGCTTTAATTTAAACTTAACCAATTCAATTCTCAATTACAGATTAACCATTGGGTTTACAGTGAGGGTGTTTTTTCGTGGGACTCCCTCGATTTCACTCAAATTGAAGGTTGCTTAAAGCCTTAAGTTTAATGCTAAAGCGGTGGAACATCTGCCCCCCTCTCTTAAATTGTTTCACTGAGATTAAAACAAGTGAGAGAAAGAACATTTCTAGAAAAACAGACCAAATGGTTTGTTAGTAAGTGCACGGTTTATGCCTCAGGCTCTAATAAGCAAGAGCGTGTTGGGGCCCGTCTGGAGGGCCAGTAGTCACCCTCTTCCTAATCCTGAGAGTCAAGCATTATCATCTCTCCTATCCCACCATCCTTAAAGGAAACTGCAATCTGCTGGAAGGGTGGACGAGAGAGAGAGAGAGAGGGGGTTATATTGTGTAAGGGCATATAGGTATCCATCCATGCTAGATAGTTCCTCACAAAACAGATTTGGGATGTCAAAACTAAGTGAAGTCTTGACGGTTTCCCTCTTTTACTGTTATCTTCAGGGCTTTTCTTTGAATTCCTGGATCTCCCAATGTCGTGTAAAGCCACCCAGTCCAACACTGTCATGCAGAGCAGAGATATCGAATACTGTACTTCTCATATCTAAGTATTTCTAAATATCTATCGACTTTCAAGACTGCACTTTTACACTCGTATCTTTGGATTTAAAGCATCTTATGGTCTCCTCTGTAGCGCAATCCTCAGGACAAATGTTCACCCTTTTGTCTTTTGAAAACATCTGATGAAAATACAGAAAAATACAGTTCTTTTTTGCTGTTTTTGATTATAGATAATGACAAAACTTCAAAATGTTACTTTTCAGTGGAGATGCCAAATAGGATTTACAGTGTTTTTGTATGTGGAAAAAATCATTCATTTTGTATATCCTTTTTAATATAAATTGTCTCTCTACAGAGCATAAGATATTATATGTCCAGATGAAAGTGAGCCAAAAGGGCCAAATACTTCAAGTAGGTCAATTTTGGTAAAATAAAAAAACACACACAGTATTGTTTTGTATTTTGCAATAATACATGCATGAATTTCTTTTTACAATATTACATTTTATAAAAAACTGCAATAGATGGCTCTGGGAAAATATGTCCATTTTTAACTTACGGTAGCGAGATGAGAAGTCGAACAACCGATATACGGCAGACACAAGAAAAGTGATCATTTTTGTGCTAGCGATGCATACAATATTAAACTTTAAATTCATTGAATTCCCACACAAAGCAGTTGACCTTTTGAAATCCAGCTGTGTTTCAGTAAAGGTAGGCTGGATTCAAATAGTCCAAAAAAATAACTCCAAAAATCTATTCCTAACCACTTTTTATTGACCTCTGTGGAAAATGTCAATGAAAGATGGCTAGGAGAATTCATGAGGAGTTAGAGAAAGACAGCAGCAGTTTTTAGATAATCTTAAACTTTCACTGAGCTACAGAGTTATGATGTGATAGGAGGCTCATGTTAGAGACGTCAGTCTGCAGGGGCTCCTTTGCTAAAGGAGCTAAGCAAGAAGGCATTGAAGCTCCTATGCTCAGCATTTTTCTTTTAATCGACAGCTCTTATCATGCTGGTCACTTACACTACTTTTAAGTAATTTCACTCAGTTAGGAACCTTCCGAAGCAAAAAGGACTTTTCGAATTCAGCCGTAATTTTTGTGTTTTTCTGTATTTTTGTATCCTGGAAGTTGCTTCATCAACTCTTCGTCCTCTCATGCATTGAAGCGAGACCAACATCCTTCATGAATGAAATGTCATGTAGAAGACTACAAATTCTTCAGTTTGGGTTACTTGTATATTATATGTGTATCTTTGTGGTGAGGTCTGTTTGAAGAAGACAGCTAATGGAAACAGTCTTTCACAACGAGAGCTCTGAATTCAATTACTTTAATATGGAAAACATCCGCGACCAGGGAAATTGTGAAGCATTCTTCCCTAACCCTCGAGAACGATGATTGATGATCTCTGACAACCCTTTGACTGGTAGAATGAGTTAAATCTACAAGAACACAAATTCCTTTTAAGGATTGTAAAAATGTCACATTACTAATGAGCCGATTCTGCTGCATCATCTAAATTAATAAGTGCTCTACAGCGGTGTGCATGTTTGTGATTTCTATTACTGTTGCCAGTCTTAATTGAGGCTGCACTAACCTAAAATCAGTTATTGCATCAGTTCTTGTGTTAGCACTCACATCCTTTGGGAGCTGACCCTTACCTGAGCCTGTGGTCCCTCTGGTCAGACCTGGCTAGACACTTTTCTGCCTCATCTCATCTACTATCACTCCCCTGTTTGACCTCTCTGTCAGCCGGTACCAC